CAAGTATGTGAGACCCCTGTATTGAGTTGGGGGTTTAGAGCCCCACCTATCAGTCCTGAAATCTGACTTACAGCCCAAAGCTTAGCAAAAGGGAGATGTGTACAGCCTGTGTGGTATAGTACTGTATCATCTTGTAAACCCCAAACCGCAAACCCTAACCTCGCCCCCCTCCCCCACACGCCCTAAACCTTCAACCCTAAACCCTATACCCTAACCCGCGGCAAGCCCGAAGCCCTCAACCCTAAACACTAAACCCCACACCCTAAACCCCTAAGCCCTAAACCCTAACCTCCCGGCAAGCCCTGAGCCCTCAACCCTAAACCCTAAGCCCTAAACACTAAACCCTGGTTTGCAGTCATCAAAAAGGAGTTCCAAAAAACACTACACCCTAAACCCTAACACTACACCCTAAACCCCAAACACTAAACCCTAAGCCCTCCTGTGGAGAAAGGGGCTATTGCACTTAAAGAAACGCTAACCCTAAACCCTAAACCCTAAACCCCTAACCCTAAACCCTAATCCTAAACCCTAAACCCTAAACAATCATCCAGGTCACAGCTGCTGCGGAGAGTCGGCAGCGGCTTGCAGCCTTGATGCGAAGGTACAGTGGGGAGGAGGGGTTTTGGGTTTTGGGTTTAGGGTTGAGGGTTTAGGGTTAGGGGTTGAGGGTCGAGGGTTTAGGGTTGAGGGTTTAGGGTTAGGGGTTGAGGGTTTAGGGTTGAGGGTTTAGGGTTTAGGGTTTAGGGGTTTAGGGGTCTAGGGTCGAGGGTTCAGGGTTTAAGATTCGCAGGAGATCGACGAGCGGTCATGCGGATTGAAGATCTAGGGCCTCAGGGCGAGGGTACCGTGTGGAAGGAGTCCAGCTCTTCGTGCCTTACGGCGTAAAGTTCACGCTTCACAAGAGATATTTCGTCCCACACCTCAACTCACCCCCAAAAATCTGGGTGTTCTCCATAGGATGGTCGTTTCGGGTTCATGGTTCGGTTGCAAGCAGTTACAAATCCGGTGTGTGTGGAGCTCGCAAAGGCTGCGGTCACAAATCTTTGGCTTCCCTACCCAGAGACTCCAATATCTCCTAATTAAGGAATATACCTTAAATTATAGTAGGGTCCCTAATAAGATTTCAGGATTATTCCTTAAATAAGGGATATTGGAGTCTCTGGATAATATCGCCGTGTCTTTCTCGACACCACCCGTGGCCTTCAGACTTCGTTGAGCTTGAGGCACTACTTAGTAAAGGATCTGATTGCATCGAGACAGCACAGCTTGCTCCCTAAACCCTAAACCCTGAACCCTGAACCCTAAACCCTGAACCCTAAACCCTAAACCCTAAACCCTAAACCCTAAACCCTAAACCCTAAACCCTAAACCCTAAACCCTAATCCCTGAATCCTAAACCCTACCCTCCACATCTCCTCCATGGCTACAGTTTTCCGAAGATTTGGGGCTCTTGGAGGAGTTGGCGGAGCAAGCACCCAGAGACTCCAAGATCCCTTAGTTAAGGAATACCTAGACCTCCTTAAAGGGATCCTTTAAGGGATCTATAAGGTTTAGGGTTTAGGGACTCCAATATCCCTTAATTAAGGAATATACCTTAAGGAATATTCCTGAACTAAGGGATACTGGAGTCTCTGGGAAGCCCCCAGCTGTTGCGTGTGGCGCTCCCAGTTTGTGGAGCTTGGCATGATCGTGAAGCACAAGAAGTCCAAGACGTACTACTTATGGTCCCTTTTTGGGTACCCTAACTAGTAGGTGCCGTATTATAATAGGGACCCAAAAGGGGACCATACTTTGTCTGGATTTGAAAGGTTGCTTGCACATCTTTCTTGGTGAGTTGCAGCTTCGACGTCGTTTTGCCAGGCCAGCAATCATGCCCTGTTTACGAATCCTTCTTGGCCCGTAAATCCCCAAATCCTAAGCCCTCGACCTCTTCAAGCACCCCGATTCCTGCCGCTTAAGAGGCCCGTATGTAGCCAAGCCAGATCCCTAAACCCTAAACCCTAAACCCTAAACCCTAACCCTACACCCTACACCCTAAACCCTAACCCTAACCCTAACCCCAAACCCTACACCCTAAACCCTAAACCCTACCTGGAGCACCCTTTGTGCTCCTTTTTGGGTCGCCTATAACCGAAACCAATAATTATTGGTAAAACCAAAAATTATTGGTTTAACCATTTTTTGGTGTCTTAGGATATATATGCAACTAGGCCCATAAGGTTGTTGAAGTCCGGAAGCCCTGATATGTGTAACATTCGCACAAGCAAAGACCCCTTAGAAAGACCCAGTACGTCCTACCGAGCAGTACATGATTATCTAACTATGTATACATAGATATTCCCGCACAACAAACCCTCAAGACCAAACTTCCTGAATCCCGACAGGCCTCCACGATGTTTCCAGCTTCCATGAGCAAGGGCTTCTTTAGATTATTGTTTCTGAGAAATTGAGCAGGGCGATAGTGGAAGTACGATAATAGGATTTGGGCCTGGGAGTGTTGAACAGAGACGGCTTAACATGTCTCTTACACACACATACACACACACACACGTAGTGGCTTTTTTCTGCCACAGAAGCACGAACTGTAATTGATCCGACACCGAGAATCAAGTCATCCCTCCGTAAGCCACACTCTTCGAACTTCCACCAAATATTTTCGGATTGTGCCAGGAGCCACGGCTGAGGGGTGCGTAGTTCGCGATATGCGGGACGTGTAGCCCACAAAACCTTCCATCATCGGTGTTGCAAATGCCCCTGGATTGAGGCACCACATACGATCACTCTGGAGGAACACATGAAGTGACCAAAGCCAGTGAGCAGCAAAATGAAACTTGGGAACAATGTTAAACAAAGTCCAAGAATGCTGGTGCCAGTAGAATGCAAGAGCGCGGTAGGCCTTCAGAAACTTTTGTAAGTGGGCAAACCCTTGCTTGGCCTCCTCTCGTGTCCAGAAAATTCGATTCTCCGAGCAATAGCATAGCCTGTTGAAATCATCAAAGCCACAACAGCCAGCATAGGCCCAGTCCAAAGCATCATTCCGTTCAAACGGCACACTCGAGAGCAAGTCGATGCACCACTGGAACATCATAACACAATCCATGGCTTTGCAACTGCAGTCCGGAAAATTTGCCAGGGTATCCCATCCCAAGTTGTCGACTGTGAATTCTTGCATGTCACGGGGATGGAGAGCATGGGCCTCACAATACGAATGAAAACTTGTAAAAGCCTCATGCAGACAAGCTGATCTGGACGTTTTCCCGGATGCCGGCTTAAACAGTCCCAGTGGCCCAACCATCATACAGATCACAGAAGCAATAAACGTCCGACCACAACCATGCGGAAGCACATGCATCAAATCAAACTGTATAAAGCTGGGTTCGTCACCCCCAGGAAGAATGCCAAAAGGAGGGTCTTTGGTCCATGGCACACACTTGAAAACAGTGGCCGTCCACGTGGCGCTCATATGAATATGCTCAAAGGGTGCATCGCTGCAGTTGGCCAAACAGTGCGGGCAAATCTCATTGCAAGTGTGGTGCCTGATACACCTGTATGCCTTTGTTTGGAAAATGTGATCCCCAGACAGACCAAGCGGCACTAGGTAGAAGGTTACACTCCCCACTGTCACACCCGTCCAGTATGCCCGGCGAAGGGATCGTGCCATCTCATCAAACAGCTTGTCCAGGATTTTGTTCCCCGCCTCATTCCCTTTGTTAAAGTGAGAATAAAGCTTGCAGGGGCACGTTGTCATGAGGAAGAGCCGGTCCCAAGAGCCACTGCCGATTGACAGCAACGGTCCCCAAGATAGCTGCAACACAGGTCGTCGTCGGTGTCCCACACCTTCATCCCCATGCAAAAGCACGGGGATGCAAACACTAAGTTCTCCAGCATGATCGTTGAAAACTGGGTGTGCCTCATTGACACTTTCATACTTGTGCCAGAAATCAAGAAAAGCCTTGCTCCAAGCATCCCTCTCAGTCAAATGGCTTCCGGCTAGAAGCTTCGGTGCCCATTGGCCAGACAGGATCACTTTCGCAAAATCAACGGCCTGCAGCATTGGATGCGGTTTCAAGACCTCTCTGCGAAGACGTCCCCTTCGGCGTAGCTTGTGTACCTTGATGGCCGTGGTGGGTGGGTTGTGGTTCTACACATTTAATTTACAGTTACCTGAAACCACTAGAACACAGAACTCTCTATAAAAAAAACATGCTTTTCAATGGTTACAACGAGTATCGTTTGGGATCCATTTAAGAGGCACAGACAGCATCAAGCCATGCTGTTGCAGCTTTCTCGTCATATCCCTCATGCCCTTGCGACTCCTATTGGTTGCACGAGCCAAGTCTTGTAGCTGTTCCTTGTCTCTCCGATGCGTATCCCAGGCAGCTAATTCCGACTGTGACTTTGCCAGTTTGGCCGCTCTTTTCCCGGAAGCTTCCTTGGCTCTGAAAAAATGTGTCAGGCATTCACAAGAATGGACGGACTTTGCAAACAAGGCTCAACATAAGCAGTCAGCACATTCTCCACATGTTGAGAATCACATTCTTTGACGTGACCTGCGTGGGGGGAGGGGGTGCAAAAATCACATGGTAGACACAATGACAAAGGCACATGCCGAGGTATCTTTTGCTCGTCTACAGCAAGGCATGCCGAGCGGGACAAAAGCAGGGCCATGAACACTGCATCTCCATTTCAGAAACACAAGCACTTGAGTGGCACTAGATACAGGATTATGCCTCTGCAGAAAACAACATACCAAACCGATGGAGGCATCAGTGGCCAAAGCTGCTGTAACACACTCCTCTAGCCAAGCTCACAGTCAGCTTGGTAGCAGATCCCAGCTGAGCCCCACGGGAAGAAACCCATCTAAAGTTTTGTTTTCCATGAGATCAGGAAGCCAGTGCCCGGGGGGCCAGCTCAAAACGGAAGCAGCCACATGTCTATGCACACATTCCCAGCTGTCTTCGCCCAAAACAGAATGAGTGCTTTCCTGGGCCCAGCGAAACTCACTTGGCTCCCTCCGAATCCGGAGGAGCCGGCGTTTTTTTTGGAGCGGCCTTGGTCTTCGCGGCCGTCTTGGCAAAGTGAGTCCTTGTGCTTGCACACCAAAATCAAAAAAATGCACCAAACAAATATGTAGAAACACATAGCAGCACAACCCAAGCCGAATGTTGTAACATCAGTTGCCCGACCAGGCTGCTTGATCTGTGCATGGTAGCTGGTGAACATAATACACCTGGTGCATCTGGGTTTGGGGAGGGCTGCTGCTGCACAACGAACAGAAAACATGCAGACAGATTTGCATTTATTGTAGCCGAAAAACTCCGAGCGGATCTTCTCCACCAGAGGTGCAAAACTCTGCTTCCTTAGTAAGAAATACAACTATCTGTTCGACAGCTTGTCCAGGCCCAAACATACAATCCTATATCGGATAACCCCCATACATATAACCTTTATGAAGCCCTCTGGCCTTCAAAACCCCAGACTACATGTACCTATTACATACATACATACATGTGTAAATGTGTGTGCGTGTGCCTCACATATATATATATATACATGTATATATATATATATACATATATATATATATTATATGTGAGGCACACACACACACACACACATTTACACATGTATGTATGTATGTATGTATACATATGTACTTCTGATGTATAATAGATACAACTACAGTAGGTATTATGCAACCGTTCGAGCGGGGGCAGTAACCAAGGGATTGCTGCCTGCGGAGTGATGGGGACGTTTAAGTTCCTTGTTACATATATGTTTATATATTACTTGCTATCTGGGGTCCAAGAAAGTAGCGCTAACACTGTCCTGATCGAGATGGGAAGCCGAAGAAACATGGCAAAGCTTAACAGGAAGCACTACTTTGTTTATATAGAGCGTACATTACTTTATAATTTCAGGTTACACATCTTTCAGGAGGATATACGACCTTGGAAGCTACGACGGGCATCCTCACAAGTCTAGCTTAGAGTGACAACTGTGGGGTTGTAGGGCAATGATAGTATATAAGGTACCCATTCTTTATAATCGAACAAGGAAACCGAACATCCCTAATACAACTAAAGTAGCAAACCTATAAATTGTCCCTACAAGCCATTGGACATCTGAATGCGGCGGCCGCCGCAGCGTGCTGGCCGAGGCCAGCTGGACGGCTTTCGGGTTTAGGTTGGTTTATAGGCACAAACGGGATACAGGGTAGTAGGGGAACACAGGCATGCTACGCTCACAATGTAGGCTAGAAGCACCCCACCCTCGGCACCAGCTTCGATCTTGGCCAGCTCGTTCAAGAGGCACCCGAGCTTGTCTTGGTTCCATGGGTGCTATCTTATACATCTTAAGGGGACATGCTTACCATTAGAGTGCGAGGCACCACCACTCGTGGACAAGACTTTGAGGTCTTCCCTGCAGCCGCAATTCAGTACACAGGGAAGCATTTTGCTCAGATTAGGTCCACACACTACAGTGCAAACTGTCGAGGCAAGGAGCTCGTGGCCCTTTGATCCCTCCTTCTCGAGCCGCTCACGAGCACCCTTCAGCAGAGCTTTGCGGGTAAGGACTGCACGTCGGTATTGTCCAAGGTATTCCTGAATAGATTCCTCGCCCTCCACCGTGGGGTACTCGGCCAAGCGCTTCTTGCCACCTGGCTGTGGCTTGGAGTTGTCTGTGGTGGTCTCCCCATCCAATTCCTCCATGATGTCTCCGAGCTCGAAGTCACTGGACAAGAGGCCCATTTGCGCCATCTCTTGCTGCAGCTCTTGCAGCTTCTCTTCTGCGGATTCAACATCATCCCGCACCAAAACAAGGTACTTGCGGATGTTGGGGTCATACAAGTCTTTCCTAGGATGACATGCAACTCCATCTAATGCAGCACACACACACATATATTCACAAGCTGCTACAAGGACGGTCGTGTCACAACACGTCTCACCATGGCACTTAGTGAGCTTCTTCTTCTCACAGTGCTTGATGGCACCCTGAATCCTCGACCTTATGTTCTGCTCTTGTCGTGGTTACTATTAATGGTTAGCTCGAGCACTGTTGTATCCCAGACACTCCTCCCACTCGAGAGGCGGCTTCCGCATCTCGGCTTCGGTTTTCCAAGAGTAGCCTTGGAGGTTCTTTCGCCACTTCACGGTCTTGGTGCGGAAGGTGATGAGGCAGTTCAGCTTGGCCTGTTCTGATAGGGATAGCAAGGCACCCTGAACAAGTCCAGTAAGGACCCTACATAAACACCACGAACACAAATAGCACCTTTGATAGTCTTATGCGGGGCTCCCTCGGCTGCCTGTACATTCCACGGACCCTGGATTAATGGCTATATAGATTCATTATAGGGTGGCCCAAGAACCTTTAACACCAATCCTTGCAGGCGGCCTCAATCGGCCCTGTTGCTGTCGCTGCTGCATGTGCAGGTACACAGGTTTTTAGACAGGGTTAATAGACTTCAGAGCAGCAACTATAGAGGGTTCGTTTCAAGGTTTCAGAAGGGCTTTGTATGGAATGCAAGAAGGCATATATGGGTTTAGGGTTTATACTTCGTGTCGGTCGGGTTACAGTCGGGGTAAACCCGCAAAACCCCTAACCTTAGAATATCTATAGATTCACGACTGCTATCAGTAACCGAAACCCTGAACTTCCTTAAATCCTGAGCCTATTCTACTCCACCCGGGCAGCCTTGTGAGTAGTGGGATCCCCCCCTTGGACATAGCATCGACCAATGAAGTCCCGGAGCAGGTTCTGCCGTTGGAAGTCTCCTTGCATAGAGGGCTATCGCATTTAGCTCCATGCCCCAGTATCTCCCATGGTTTGATGTAGTATTGGTACAAGTTTCGGCTTTACAGTTCATGGGTTTGCAAAGCTTCGTCGGGGTTCGAAGCGAGGTTGTAGATAGGCTTGTGGGTGCTGGCACGAGCTTCGGACAAGGAGGGCTTTCTTCAGCATATGGTTCTGCCTAAAGTCGAGGCTTATTGATTTCCGGTACAATATGGCTTTGGTGTACTATTGGCTTGCAACAAACCGCGCTTGCAATTCGGATCGACCGGCTGGTTTGCTTAATTTATACGATGTATACCTAATAGGGTTAGCGATAATATCTAGGATTAATATACGGTCTATTAAGAACGGACGATAAATTCATATTGTCATATGTACAGATGTATGTACTTATTCTCTGCGTCTTGTTTATAAATGAGACTTCAAGAGTTGGTAACTCAGATCTGTATCTTGCTTTGGGATTTTACTTCGAGTGCGATTCCTCGAGGAATCGCAACGAAGTAAAATCCCAAAGCAAGATGCAGAATGTATGTATGCATGTATACTATGTATGTATGTTTCTGTGTATGTGTGTATGTATAGTATGTATGTATGTATGTCTGTATGTGAGTACATGTGTGTATGTATACATGTGTGTGTGTGTGCACGTACATATCATGGACCCGAAAATTAACTCCCCTCCCTCCCCCCCTACACACACACACACACCTTCACAACACAGGACTCCTGCATCCCACGCTTGTTTGATCTCTGCCAGGCAGTCTGGTGCCCGCGTGATTCGGTACAAAGCCCCCCAAGCGTTTGGATGGGTGGAGGAGTTGAAAGGTCCAGAACCAATCCCTTGCGGAGGGCCTGCGGGCTGCACAGCGAGCTGGGTCTGGGCAGGGGGTGGCAGCTGTTTGGCAACCGGAACGGCCAAAGCAAGCTGGGCTGCTGGGGCAGCTTGCGGGGTTGTTGCAACAGCAATGGCCTGGGACGGGTTTGGGGCCTGCAAAGCAGGCTGGGCTGACTGGGGCCCGGGTGTGTGGGCTTCCATCTTTGCCCGCAGCTTAGCTTTAGCATCATGAGCATCTGCGCGGTTTGCATCCGGCTTGGGAGCAGTGTCAGCCTTTGCAGGCTTGGGTGCTGTCTGCATAGATCGTACGGCCTCTGCTTGGGCAGAAGAGGCTTGCTCGATGAGCAAGCAAAGGTTGTGCTCGTGCTGCTCCCGCTCCTCCTGTAAGGTTGCCTCGTGCTCGGCCTGGCGCTGCATCATAAGCTGCTCCTGCCTCTCCTGCTCTGCCTGCAGTGCCGCCTCATGCTGCTTCCTGGCTTCGTCAAGGGCCTGCTGATGCTGCACTAGCTCCTGTTGCATTTGCCCTCGTAGCTTGCTCATCTGCTCGTTCATGTACTTCTCCAAGGCAGCCTGTTCTTGTTTCATCCTCTTGCTAAGCCCGACATCAAGAGCATCATCCTGGGGTGGGCGCTTCCTGGATTCCTCCTCCACAGCTTTTGCGTACTGCATGTTCGCACCGGGGAGAACCTGTGTCGTCTCGGATGTAGTGCTTCCACCGCAGCTCCCACTCGAAAATCCTTAACTGCTTTTAGCACAAGCACCACAATGGACATGCCGATCATACCGGAGCACAAGTTTATTGGATCAGCCGTAAAACCACGATGCAGCTGCCCCTTCGTGCGGAGGTACTCTTCCTTGAGAGCTTTGGAATCGGGCGTGTCACCCAAAGTCTTCCACAGCTCAGCCGTCTCGGGCGATAGACCCAAGAACCGATCGGGGTCATTGCTTTCACATGTCTCGTCCTGTTGGAATCAAACAAAGTTTTGAAGCGGAACACAACACACACACACACACACACATTGTGTCTGAATCCCCAGCACACTGCCTTGACCTTTGTGGGTGTGGCCATGGGATTCTGCTTCTCGAGGTAGTTCATCCCCCGGTACAGAGACTCGCAGGACATTCGATGCGACACCGTACCACAGCGAAAAAAAGCAGCCTAAGTTGAAACAACCTCCTGTAGAACCTGAGAACCCCTCTTCATATGACTAACATACCTATTCGTACTTTTACACACATATGGGTATGTCAGTGTACAGAAACAAACCTCATGCAGGTCCTTTGCTGCTGCTTCGAGCAAAGCAGCGGGATGAGGTCCAAGTCATAACAATAAAATCTTAGAAAGGCCGGGATTTGGTTTCGAGAAACCATAATGGGTTATCGCTTTTACAAGTCTTAAGTGGGATCATGTACATATATACATATTTGTTATGAACGTGTGTATATATATGCACATATCATACATACAGGGAAAGGATATATAGACACGTCATGTGTATAAGGGATCGATCGGGCAGCTGGTTGCTTCTCCGCATAGGACTTGACTAGCGGGGGCTACTTTAGCACTTCAAGGGTCTAGAAACCTTATATAGCTGGCCTTATAGATAAACACAACACATGCAGCTATGAGGCCACTCCATAACAGAAGCTGGTTGAGTACATCCACATACCGCCCGATGATGGGTTCTGGGACACACCCACAGAGTAGCCCTGCTTACATCATTTATAAGGTTCGAAGGGTTGTATGGGCCTAGGAGCAACGGGTCTTTAATTGGTTCCATGATCCACCTGTTCTTGCCGGGTACTCAAAACCCTGTAAATAACGATATATGAGATGTTCTCGGAGTACACCCTCCATTAGGGCTATAGGGTTTGGGGCATCGGTTTGCTACATCCGGAGAAGACTCAATGAATGGACAGAGCCCCTGAGACACTGGTGCGTTCACGGGGTGAGTGGATACGACCACGACAGTGTCCGACCGGACATGCGATCAACTCCACGACTGCACGAACGATGCAGGGTTGACATTGGATCTGCGGCAGCGAGCCACACGAACTCTATGACGGCTCAGCAGCATCTGCAGCAGGGTGCTGATTCTGCAGCGTCTGCAGCAGGAAACTGCACAGAGGGTCACGACTCTGCAGCGTCTGGCGCCGCAATATCGGGTGCCGCACTGACGGTATGTCGTGACGGACGACTGGACAATGACAGGATCTATTGGGGCCCCGACCCATTCCCGAAACAAGTAGAAGCAGTTCTTCCTATACTCGCACCCCAACATCCTAAAGTGCATTCCACAAGCCTCTCGTTTAGGGTTATATAGGACTTGATATAGGGCTGGGGTTTTCATCCCCACGACCCTAGAATCTGCACTTAAAACCGCACGTGTGCAAGACCCATAGAGCCATAGAGCCCTATAGAACCCCCAAGACCGAATGTAAATAGAACATCAGTCCCATGGGGGTTCTCCAATGTAATTAATTACATCGCGGGTTCTAATGATGGGTTTGATCTGGCCTGACTGCAGAAGTGTACGTATTACTTGCCAGTAATAATTCGAAGCGGTGCCACACTTTCGGGTTTTGCGCTTGCACTACCTTTGAGAAAAGCCTAGTAACTTATTGGGACATGGGCAGGGTCATGATTTCAGGTTCCATTTCGGACATTCGGGGAGTTCTTTGGGGGATGACTAAACTGACCTCTGCCTCATCTTGTCTGAATTATATAGACCTTAGCAAAGTAGGATTTGTGGGTTTAATGTCTCCAAACACCCCTCGTTGCACGACATGAGCTGCCGGATGTATACAAATGAGCCCTTAGAACACTTTATTCGTACCCCTGGTACAAATAAGCTTTCTTTACAACACTAATTATAAAGCCCTGTATAGCAAATCCTGGACCCTTGATAAGTGGCATCACATAGAAGGTACCATCACAGGGAATTGAACAGCAACTCACTATAATATCCACTACCGAACCCGATTCAAACACAGAGCAAAATCATGCTCTGCGCTTGCCAGGGTGGCGCTGCGGTGGCTTTATCGGAGCCGGTCAGAATTATCTGGATTTATGGGTTTATAAAGGGCAGTTTCTACAAGGGCTCCTTGCTCGGGTTCGGGTTTATGGTAATCGGTAGATCTGGCTTCTAGGGCTTCCTAGATACGATTCGGTAGCTTAGGGCTTTCCGGTGTGACTTCTCGGGCGAGTTCTACGGTTGATGATTTATAAATCCTGCATTACCTTAAGGACCCATAAACTATGGGAAGTATTGTATATTCCTTATTATGATTCATGCAGGATTTATATATATCATCAACCGTAGGACTCTCGAGGTTTAGGTCTTCCAGGGTTTTAAATTACTGTAGTTCCCACTAAACTCCCCACCTCAGTCCTATAAAGCTGGTCAACATCCCAAAGCAGGCTAGAGCTACACTAAATCCTGTAAAAAGTCCAGGAGGTCTTAAACCAGGGTATGTAAGGGGCTCCTACTGAGTCTGGGTAGGTATGACTAGTGAAACAGCTGGTGTTCCTTTGGTTGTCCCGAGCCAAGCAAGTGATGCTATATAAAGTCCCGAACCCGTACCACCGACACTCCTATACTTGTCGCATCTAAAGGAATGATTCCAGAATCCTCTGAAACACCCCTCGACTAAGCAACCTTAAGGCTGTCACAGGGCTATAAGTCAATGGGTATGGTTGTACGTGTTCGATGATCTACTTACAGGACAACTTTTACAACCATCATAGATACCCCAGTACCCTCATTAGCCATATAAGATACTTCGTTGACTCATGTAGGTATATGTATATATGAGCATATATCCCATAGGGAAAACCTCAGTCCCTTCAGTGCAGGAAGAACACACGGGGAGGGCGGTAGCACCCGAGCTGGTAGGTGATGTCTTCGTAGGCAATGGATCTCCTGCAGCGATTGGGGTCAGTTGGTTTGTCCTGTATGACTATTGAAAAAGGGATCCCTTAGCAGGTATGGTGTTTATGATCAGCTAGACATATTAGACTACAGAAGCAATTCGGCTTAGGTCGTATTCTGGGTAAACCAAGAGGGTGGATTGCAAAAATTGGTAAAACCAGTTTCCTTAGGCCCGCTGCTGGGGCGTAGATTTTCTGTTGCGTTCTTGCGCGTTCTGTTGGCTCTTTTTGGTTTTCTGGTGGCGGTTTTTGGTTTTCTGTTGGGGTTCCGTTGCCTAGGTTTTTGAGCTCGGAGCACTGTTTTTGGTTTTTTCAGGTCCTTCAGGTTCGGGAGGGGCATTTTTTGTGTTTTTCAGGTTCCTTGTGTTGCTATTTGCTTATTGGGATTGGGTTTTTTTGGGTTATGGAAGCTTGAGCTTGGAGATTCCGGTGTTTGGGTGTCTTGTTGCTTGGCTCTCGGGTGGTTTGTGCCAGGGCTTCAAGGTTCTCAAGGTCTGGTTTTGGTGTTGCTCAGAACCACACAATATATATATATATATATATATGACATGTAGTGATCAAACCTCTGGACGTTTTGGCCGATTAGAGTAGCTACTGTTGTATACACACATCGAGTTGGCTGGGGTCTACTGGGCATATGATACCTATAAAGTTGTATGGCTGTTGGGGCCAGCCCGGTTCGGATAACACACGATACTCGAGTACAGCTGTCTCAGGGCACGTTATTGCTGTGCACCCGATGTAGGCTAATTACTATAAGTCCCCCGACCCTCCCACTATGTCTTCCTAGACGTCTGGGCAGAAATCTACCCCGGGTGTTCGTGCGAGCATGCATTCAAAGCCTTCACGGGGCCGTAAGGTAGTTGCAACTTTCTGGGGTTCGTGAAGAAAAGCTAACCTTCAAGAGAAGTACTACGAACGAGGCACAAAGCCCGCAGGAATTCCTCCTAGCCTGGATCTAGCCTTTTCTGCAGCCACACCCCTGCAACATCAAGCTCAGCAGACGAATTAGGGCCTCCTGCAGCAAGAACTACGGCTATGGCTAAAACCACAGCACGGCTATGGCTCCAACCACAGCACTGGCTCATGCGATGCCTAATGCACGCTTGAGCTCCTGAGGTAGATTCGTGCTTTTGCTTCGGAGTAAGTATACCACGACCTCATCCATCGCTGCATCCTCCATCCAGTACTTGGATGCGTGATCTTCATAGTACTTCAAGGCCCCGAGAAGCAGTTCCATTGAAGCATCAGGAGGAAGAGCCTCTCACCATTTTAAGTTTTAGGAGAAGGATCACAACACCTGACATACATAGTTATCTTGCAAAAGTTCACATGTACGTATGTATGCATGCCTGGGTCTGCGTATGTCTGTGAGTCTGCAAACATACATTTGTCGGAGGCTACACATGTATAGGTATTTATATGTATATATACAGATAGATATACATAGAAAGGCAGGTAGACGTATGTGTGCCTGCATGCATATATATATATATGTATGTATGTATATGTATACATCTATATGTATGCATATTCATATTGTCATATGTACAGATGTATGTACTTATTCTCTGCGTCCTGTTTATAAATGAGACTTCAAGAGTTGGTAACTCAGATCTGTATCTTGCTTTGGGATTTTACTTCGAGTGCGATTCCTCGAGGAATCGCACTCGAAGTAAAATCCCAAAGCAAGATACAGAATGTATGTATGCATGTTTACTATGTATGTATGTTTCTG